CAATTCTTTAAGATATTTGTGTCGTAGATTTTCTTACAGTTGTTTTAAAATGTTTATGACACGTTATTTAATGTATTATCACATGATTCAATTATTTAGTCATTATACATAATTTAATTTTTAGAGATGGAAATACTCATTAATATCTTTTTCTTAGAGAAAAGATGCGGCTAATCTAACGCAGTGCATGTTTACAACATAATCATCCGGCTCAATTCATTATAACTGAAATAGAAATGCAAAAGCAGGCGTTAAAACCGAGAAACTCAAAGAAGAGAAGAACATTCCATCATACCAAAGGAATTGGAAAGCTACTCGCAGCTGAAGATTATAACACTTATCAAAGATGCAGTTGACGTCTTTGATCACATGGTTGCATGCTGTTCAACCGAAAAGGAAAATGAAGAGATGGCCAATTGGCTGATAGTATATATATATCTAGAAAAAGTGCAAACATATGATGTAATTGCAAAAAATGTAACAAGCTACAATTGACAAGAGGAAAAATATTGCAATCAATTTGCGGAGATAAAAACAGAGAAATAGTGTAGGGTGGTAGGTGGTAGCAACTATCGAAATGATCTGAAACGAACAGACCGTAGAAGCCATATAAAAAGGGATGCTCTTTTCTATGTTTGTGAAACTCAAGTACGGAACTTTCTTTTCCCTCATTTCTCTTTTTCTTCAGTTTTTGCGCAGAGAATCTTTCTTCCCCTGCTTGTTTCATTAGTAAACTACAAGGATGAAAATGTATAACTTCCTTGAATTATTACTTCTCTATAAATCTTCCAACTTTTGTACAAGTTTAATGCACGTCTGGCTTGCATCAGAATAGCAATCTTCATTTGGAAAAGTGACTTTAGTAATTGATATTGTCTAATTTATTAGATGCGAGAATTTATAATTTAAATGAAATACTATGTATCTACGAGATCTAGTTTTGAATGTTATGAAAAAATTAATATTGATACTGACTTACTTACAAATTTTGGAGCATTATTACGAAATTGGTTCAGACTGTTACTACTTTGAAATTATCAAGGATTGAAATAACAAGAAATAATAATGTTTAAAGAATACGATGTTCAACGTTGTGTAACTAAATGAATGGAACCTGTTTCATCGACGAATTTTCAATGTTTCTCCTTAGTGCTTTTGATTTTCCAAATAAGAGTAACATTTGTTCGAATGTTTTATTATTTCATAAAAATTCCTTATAGAATTGCTATAAAATGTAGTTACAATTTAAAATGCACTACAAAGAGTCAAACAAACGTAAAAAAGAAAATATAAAGGAGCTGGAAGAACAGCTTAATTTTCTGCATGACGGACCAAAAATAATTCCTTTGGTGACATACCATAAACAGACTGCCTTATATGGATATCAGTGCAAATTCATATTTTTACGAACACTAGTATGTTCTATGACATAAATACTGTGAGCTGGAAATTATCTTAAACCAGAAAGCAAACGTCATTGCAAATAAAATAATAAATAGAATAGTAATATTTGTTACACCATATGTACATTGCAATGTTTTCTGATATAATGCATAGTATTATAATAGAGGTCTAATAATAGAGAAAAGTAGCCAAATACGTCGTTCGTATAAAATCAATCACGACAAAAAGCATTTATTCTACTCGTTTTTCTGTGGTTGCTGCGAACGTTTAAAAGTTCCTTTCTCCATTGTATTGATTTAATCCGAATCTTAATTTGATACGCGAATATACCAATTCTTAAAAATTAATTCCCTGGATTTCTTGTTAAGAGCATTTTCCCTTTTTCTAGGTGATCGTTTTAATAAAAAAAAATTCAAATTAAAACACTGGAGACCCCTGATTTGACTATCGTTCGGATAACCAAGGAGAGAAAAGCAACTCCACATACAACAGCAGAGTTACCGACGTGTTCACAGCTAAAAGAAATCGTCCAGCCAATTTAATAATTTGAGACTGTTCATTTATGATTACACGTGCATGTGGCATACACCAAGCTACGTGTAAAATCCACCAGCCACTGATTATCAATATTATGATAAGCACCTTACTTTGGACATATTGTATATTTGTGCATTGCGTACATCTATGTATCTTCAACATCTCCACAGATGAATAAAAATCCTCAGTCGTAGGAATCGAGGATGGATTTTAGCATAGAGTATCATCAATTATGTCGTTCAGGATGAAAGGCTTGGCTGGTGCGATGGCATTCGCGTGCGTGACCCCATTTCTGGTTGTGTCGCGTAACCGGGAAGCCTTCAAGTGTGTCGTCCGCGGCTTCGCGAATCCGCTGCTTGCAAATCCCTAGGATAAGGCCAGATTTATTCATGATTCATCGCCGTTTACCCGTATTTTATTATCGCCCGTGGCTTTTACGAGTCTGTCTTTTACGAGACCATCGTCACTGCAAAGAAGACTCCTCATTGTTCTCGTGTTCATGACAATCTGTTGGCCTCTCTGAATACCTCGTCAAACTCTAAGATAGAACCTGGCGGTGATAGCCTACAATATATACTGGATTACGTTTATCTTCTCTCGTTTCTTCTCAGAGACTTAAGAGCTGTTCTAACGCAAATATAATTTCGGTTTTATTTTCAATGGATGTTTAATTGATTGTTCTTTGATTTAAATATCTCTTTAAGAGCGTATAATACGTGAATTAAGGGTAGAAATATTTCAATCGAGAGATCATTGTCATATATTATTTGTTGTTTATCGTCGCACCCCTTAGTGAGGTGTGCAATTTGAAATTTTTATTCTACTTGGCAAGAGTTGTAATCTTTTAGATCTGAGTATTCTTTAATCAGAATCTTTTTACTTGTGTGTTTGCTGGATAAAAAATTTTTATTTTGGAGTTTCAATGTCGTTCCAGTTAGTTAATGATTTTAATTACTTCATTTGGGTAGCTTTTGATGCTTTCATAAAGTGATATCTCCAAGAGATTAATTGTAGGAAATCGTACAATTTTGCTGAGTTATTATTTATTATAATGATTTCTTTAAATATGACGGCGTTATTAGTACACTTTTTTTAGCCTGTCACCATCGCTCCTTTTATTTTGGACATTTTCTTTAATCAAAACTCTATCGTCCGCACCGCAAATGGGACAATTCTCTCAGGAGATACTAAAAGTAACATTTTTCCCAGAAACCTGCCACTACATTCTTTCACACGTATCTATCTCCACAACTAATTAAACTCTCCATTTCCCATTCTTTTCTACACTCCACTTAATTCCATCGCACGATTCGTAGACAGAAGTCTATAGAAATGTCAGAATCGTTAAGAAAAAAACAATTCGAGGCGAGGATTTTGTTTTATAATTTCGGTGCCTAACACAGCAATAATATTAATAGAATAAACAATAATATTTATTATTGTATTTATCGAGAAAAGGGCAGCAATTCTGCTTCTGATCTAATATTGGCCAAATAATTGAATCGCAGCTACTCTTTTCCCTAATTTTCCTCGGGATCGCTGGTCTACTTTCGTCGTAAAGGAAGCGAGGGTTGTAAGGTAACTTCAATTTCGGAGTCCTCAGGACATCGAGCCCTCGCCATTGCCATTGGCATTTCCATTTTCTTTGTGGAAGCCTAGCATTCTTGCCAATAACGAAACGAATCTCGTCGAAGCTTGCAAAGCAAAAAAATTCGTCAAAGGAACGTGGTGCAAAGGCAACCATAAATGGGTAGCCTATTCATGCCAATGAAAACAGACGTCAGTAATACGTGGAGGATCAAGACCCAGAAGTCGATGACACACGAGGATCGTTACTTTAATCGTGTAATTTACTCTGTTTCTCACGATTTACTACTGTACATTCTTGCAATCTTTAGGTATCTTTAGGCTCGTGATCTTTCGTAGTCATATTATAATTTAGAATAGTCATAATAATAGATAATAATAATGGACTTTCTCGAATACCACGTATACACAATTGAAGTGATTGAAAATGTTTCAGATCACATTACCAAGTTCTCACTTCGTATTATGACTAATTAATAAACATTTATCAGAGCAGAAGGAAAGAACGAGTAGATGGACAAATTGAGTTTAGAAAAATTGACCTGATATTAGATGAGAAATCGATTGGAAGAAGAGCTGGATAATTATTCGTAGAAGGTGACTGATGGTTTAAACCCTCATAAAGGGTTGGGCCTCTCACTCTTGGAACACTAATAGAGAGTTAATAAAATGACAAACAAGGACGTAGCCTTTTGGGTTTGCCTACGAGTCCATTTCAGCCTTGGTTTGCGAAATCGTGATTATCTTGTTGATTTGATTGACCATGTTAGGGCCAATTCAATTACCAGTATTGAACAAACCCTATCAGAGGGATTCTGTAGGTCGGAATTGCGAGGGCTTCTAATTTTACCGTACGATAGCAAATGAAATTATTGTTATTGAATCTACGAGTTTCTACTTAGATTTATAAATCTTTTTAGGCGGAAACAAGTTGTTTGATAACGTTCACGATTGTTCCTCACATTTGTATCTTTTTAGCTATCTTTCTCCTTTGGATATTTTGTTCGTAAAAAGCGTGGGATGTATAAAAAGTAGTAATACTATATTGTATACTATAACCAAATATTTAAAAGCTATGTAATTTTTAAAACATTTACGGAAATGTAACATGTAACATTGTGAGTCACATAAAGTGAAGGACAGTGTGTTGTAAATATAAAGATGGTAAAGATATATATAGTGTAAACAATACTTACAAAAAGAATCGAAAAGATTGATTAAGGACTAAAGAGAATCAGAAAAGTTCTTTCTTAAAATACTTGTTGACATTGCATTTAGTTACATGCTTAGACCTTGTTCTATTATTGTTATGAGGAAAATCGATTCACTTTTTATTATCTGTAGATTAGGGAAAGTATGATCGTATGTTTGTATGTTTGTATGCGATTTATGTGTCGTGAAAGATAATTTGTTAGATGTGGTATTTCCACGTGGCCTATAGTATCTAATTGACAAAATATAATCCGTTTCAGGGTACGGGAAATAGAACACGAGTACGGTGTGCTGATTCAAAGGTCAAACAGAATAAGACGCAACTGGAAACATGAATGGCTACGTAAGTTCCATAGGCAAACAGTAGTATCGTACTAACAGTACAATAAGTTTATTAGTATTATTGTTATTATTATCATTATTATTGTATTGTGTTATTTGATATATTGTGTTATTTGATTATATTACATTATGTTAATTCATAGTATGTTATTTATCACGTTATATTTTGCTATGTTTTATTATAACTACATCAAATGTGCGAGTTTGTTACAGTAGTTGTACTTGGCTTTGATAATAACAATTCAGTAAAATAGAAAGAAATAGAATTTTACTTTGATTATTTAACTTGTATAGAATGAAATGTGAAACTGAGAATCGTTAAGATATTCAAAGTAAAATGTGTTGCATGTTTGAACCAATATTTGGTACGTTATGCTTGAGAGTAATGACCGTGGTGGAGAATTCCTCACCGAAAGAAAAGCCAGAAATAGAAGGAACAGTGTGGAATCGAAGCTTCCTAGATAGTCACGAATCCCTTCTTGTTTCGATATAAATCCTCTGTAAATATCAATAATCCCTTTGTCACAGAATTGTTATTCATTCATCTTCTGTTTTCTCTCTATACTTGGGAATAAAACAATCACGGTGCTTGAATTTTCTCCTGAAAATCAAGTCCCTTTATACCACCTCTCTATTCAAATATAGCTTCGTCAATGTATTGTTTGGAACTCCCATATTAAATTTACCTTATGTATGTCATATAAAATTTGTACTCTTTAAAAATTATCGATAGACCGTATAAATGGATTTTTACGCAAATTTATATCATTGTAAATGCGGTTTAAACAGAAATTGGATAGGGTGTGTATTAAACTTCTCAATATCGTTAGCATTAAATTTTGCAATTCCCTTTCTTCAAACAGAACAATGTAGGGATCTTCGGTATTTTTCTGGTCTCTGCTGTTAAATTTATTTCTTTCTTATTCCATAGTGTTATTATCTGTCAAGTTTGAAACACACACGTCTTCGTTCTATAAACATTCTCTTATCCGAAGTAAAAATTGTGCTCTGGTATTATATAAAAATTGCGAACTCTGATATTAAAGTTATTTATTTTCATCCTGCGTGGTTGTTATTTTTGGACTTATTATCTGAAGTATAAGAACATTCTTCTACAATGTGAAGGAAGATCGTTATAGCTTTAATGTAAATATTTTAGTACGACACACTGAAAACAGAAGCCAACGACTAATCCCTTGCAAATCCTTATTTTTCTTCTTTTGAGAAAACTATTTGTCACCGAGATATTGCACACCGTAATTACAATTACTCAGGAAAACGGAAACTGCTATTTGGGACTTGGTTCATCTCCATCGATTGAAAAATACACATATTATCCGGAACTCGTTTGTCCAGGGGCAAATTGCGTTATATTTTTTTAATTAATGAAATAAGCTTTCATCATGCGGGAAAAATAGGATATTTCATAAAAATTCCACGTTGCTCGTATCACTGTTGTTTTTCATGCAGCCAATCCTATATTTACTTTAATTTATGTACACTCCATCTCATATAGAATTTTGTACATAGTTGCACACATTGTGTTTACAATTTTTTCCAATCAAATTATCTTATCGAATGCTATTTTTAAGTTCTGATTATCACATTCGCTGCTATGAACACGAAGCGTCATTCAATTATTTTAATTTAATTGCAAACAATCCACGTCTCGGTATTTGACGTTGAGAAGATGAAAAAGAAGTAATGAAATAATGTGTTGATAGGAAGAAATCTTTTTCTTCTTTCAACTGAATCCTATAAATTCGATGAATTTCAATGGACAATTACGAATTGTCTTGTTTTGAAATTCATATCATATCATAGACGTTTCCCTTCCTTGACAAAACAATATGCGTATAAGTTGTCATTCAACAATGTTATATATATATATATGTTTTTATACAACCTTTTACAAATCGTATTTCTGTATTTTTTATACTTTGATAAAACGATTTACGAGTAAGTAACTATAATTCTATTTCGGAGAAAGGGCGTGGAAAATAGCAGCGATTGAATGTGAGTAATGGAAAAAATTGTGAAGTCAGCTCCCCCCGGCACTTCACAGTCGAGCAACATACGAGCTACTGGCATCCACTGAATTTCCAGGATTTTCCAATTGCAACTGGAAGAATTGCACGCTGCAGGCGATTTTCTTACGAGATGTTGAAATATATGTACATATGTTACCCTTCGCATTTGCATGGGAAATATCGTCGACACCCGTCGTTTGCTCACCAAATATTTCTACAAACTTGGAAAACTCGTTTCTGTTGTTTCATCCGTGAGATAAGCTTCCCTTTCGAACACGTGAACCTTGTTAGATAAGCTTCCGCTGGATTTCTGAATCCTAGTATAGCATTCTGTGGTTCGATGATCCAGCTGATGTATATTTTAAGATTAACTGGCATGTTGTAGAACAAAAATAATCGGATGTACAAGTCTTGTTTTCTCTATGTATGTATGTATGTATGTATGTATGTATGTTGATATATAAGGTGACCGATTTTAACCTATACTTGTGAATTATTGTTAAACTAGTTGCTGTATGGAAAACATATTCGGATAATAATTTAATGATTTCGAGTGGGATATAATCTGATGCGATTATTTGCTCTGTAAATAAATGCACGTAGGTCGTATGAAGATGATATACATATTTATATATTTCATATATAATATTTTATATATTTCTTTCATACATCAGATGCATCCCTGTACTTTCAGATTTCCCATAAATGCATAAAAATCCGCAGTCTAGTTATCACTGTGTGAGCAGAATGATAATTAAATTGAGAAATGTATGATACTATAAATATAAATTTCATGTGTATGAAATACACAAATACTCTTATAATACATAGGATAACATTTACATTTTATACAATTTTACTGATATTTCATTTAACTTCATTTTATAAATTATATTAAATTTATTGTTAAATGTTGTCACAGATTTTATCGAGCACAATACAAAAAATGAATTTTGCATGTAAAAATAATACAAAGTCAGCTTAACGAATTGTTAAGAACGCTTTCAAATGAAGGTATTAAACTTATTGGAAAAGTTCGTTGATCATTGAACAATGGTCGGTGGTCCATTGTGACCAAGCACACAGTGTATTAACAAAAAATATCAGGTTCTCTTCTCAATAGGAGCCGTAAAAGATGAAAGAACCTGGTCTTTGAATTTATTCGGGTCTCTCGTTGTCTTGATTACCGGTGCACTTGTCAGTGTACTCTCTGGAACTATTACAAGCCAGGTTTGATGTTTGGTAATAATTGGATGAGAGAATAGGGCTGGTTTGTTGCAGTGGAAACGGTTAGTGGGCGGAGATCTGTTGGTTTATTTTCGAAGATTAATACACAGATCATAGTGCAAGCAAACGTAAGGGATTTCCTAGTCCAGAAATAATTCCAAATTCTGGTTAGTTTAACCCTGCTGTACTCTTTTAATTTTTATGGTCTTCCAATTTCACTTTTGTTTTAAGGAACAAAAAGATTTGAAGACTACGACAGAAGAAAACTTAAAGTCATATTTTTATGAAGGATTAGTTTTAAAACACTGTATTCCATTAATTAATTGACTTTCAAAAGGATTAATGCTTTTAATTAAATTCATTTTTTCCATAATTTTAGAGGTATTTCTTGTGGTAATATCAAATACCGAGAATATTAAAATATCGCTTGTTTTTCCAATTACACGTTTGCTACTACGATACTTATGTATCTCGCAGGTTCTTTTCATTCTAAATTATTCTATATTGAAATATGGCTTTTTAGTTGTAACGTGATATTAGTATCTGAATTATCATATTTTCCTTTATTTCCATATCAAATATTACTGAAATTAGGTAAATTTACAAAAACGAATTTCTCATGTTCATCTCCTGAGAACTTCATTTCTAATGCTTTTTAGAAAGATCTTACAAGTTAGGAAAAAACAAAGCAGTCTTAAAAAATGTTTCATCTTTGTTTTCAGGAGAACGTAGACTTTAACAAACCTGTGAGCCTCAGCGATCAGAAGCGAATCTTGAAAATGAAAGCTGACCAGTGCCATAAGGGCAACATTTCATCGTCTGGTAAGTATTTGTTCTCCTTTCTTTTGTTCTTATTCTTCGTCAAATAAAACTTGAAGACTGTACAAAGGCTCCCGAAATCGCTTTAACAAAAGTTAACAAAACATACTTCATACGATAGTACACATTTTTCAATTGCAACATTGTTAGAGACCTACGTCTGTCCCTATGTCGATTATGCGTTTAGTAATTTTGAAAGATTCCCTTAAAAAGGAAAAAAATAAAGCCGAATTAGTACTTATTGTAGTTGGAAATAAATATCGAATGCTGTGCATAATGCTGAAAATATGAATGACGTTCTAAAATAATTAACAGGAACTGGAAGGTCGAGGGTTTCAACGACTACTGACTTTGATGTCGATTAAGCTGATAGCCAAGGGGTTTGGCACGGCTTAATTCGAGTTATTTCATCGAATCAGACCATCGGCAGTTACGGAAGTGTAGCTACGTTTGGCAGCTGACGCTACTCCTCTAAAGCCATTCTCCATTTCCATGGAAAATCCCCTAATTATCTTTGGATATTCGACACGCTCTGATGTAGTTTGATTAAAATTATATTGTAATATCTTCATTCGATCTTTCCTCCTGTAATGAAATATTATCTAATTTAAAGCACACATCGTAACTACTGTTAGATAAATTTGAAAAATTATACCATTAGAGCTAATTTCTTTGCTTACAAAGTTTCGGATGCGAATAACCATTATGGATGATTAATACATATTCTCAATATTTATTGTTAATAATTCAAGATTCTCAACTGGAAAGATCAATATGTATCTTCGATACAATATCATCAGTATTTGTTGACAATATTACCAATCCTCTAAGAGCACCGTTAGTTTATTCCTTAAAGCCAGATCTTAATCCTCTAAGTATCTAAGTACGTCTACATCTTGAGCTGTTATATAGATTGCCATACATACCATATATCTACGTCGGTCTTTGGAATTTCGTTTCTCTTCGTGTTTCTTCGGTTTGTCTATCTGTCCATGCGGAAAGCTTTATGCTTGCCTTTATGAAGTATACCAGTTCCCACATTTTTCGGTTGTTGCTCTTACTATTTCCGTGCATTCCTTATCTCTCGGTGTGATCCATCTGATTAATCTCACAAATACAATAGCACGCTATACTAGTCTGTAGGCATGCGATAGGAGTTTGAATGAAAGCGTAGTTGAAGTACAACCAACGAAGAAGATGAGATAAAAGGAAGACGAGAGCTACGTACAATAAATAACAGTGAATAACGTAACTTCGCACCATCTTTCTCTTCCAATCTTTTTCCTCGCGAAAATTTGTGGAATTTTTTTTTCGTCCGGCGTGAAAATTATTTTCATATCGATAACGCTGCCTTTGACGTTCGAATGTTAAATACGCGGAAATTGTGAAACATCTGGAGATAACATTTCATATAACATTGAATTTCGTGTTTGGATAATGAAAGTACCAGCGCCAATTCTGTAATTAATCATTCAGCGTGAGTAACACACACAAATATACTGCTTCATCAGCTTTGAGCTAGGGGATTTCACGATCATTCCATGAATTTCCCATGACCCGTTTGTAACGAGAAATTTATGAAACGCGACAGACGCACTAGAAGTGGAAATTTAATACGACCCCAAGCAGCTCTCTAGTGCTAGTCTGGCTATTTGTCCCACACGTTTTAGTGCCGCCTGTAATTCGAGAGAACAGGCTGGGGAAAAATGCTGTGAATTTAAATGCCTTTCGAATCGTAAAAGGATTTGGGAAATTCATGGGTCGTTTGCCGCTGCCGGGGAAAAATTTAGCAAGGAAAAAGCGGCCGAGGAAATGGAAAATAGAACTGGCATTCAAATCACGATTTTCGTGTCGGTCGAGGGCTTTTGCTGCCTCATCCAATTATGGCTGTCGCACTCCCAGATGCGGGCAAAAATAGTACTTGTTGCTGGAAAATTATTTCTCTTCTTGTTCATTTTTTCAACGTGTCCTGTAATCGCTAACTTGGGTTTTTAAATTCACGCGTTTGAAGGAAATTGATGGATTTAACTCCATTCAACGCATGATACTCTTTCACGAGTCAGTAATGATTGCTCAGTTGCCATAGGATTAAAGATTGTTAGCGAATCTATCAAAACTATAGATTTTATTTCATAATTTGTTCGATAGGGTCGACTTATTTTTACGATTGTAATAATCACTTTGTTATCTTTGATATCTCTGTTGAAGAGACAAGAATATAATATGTAATATAGTAGAACAAAGTATATTTTGAATCGTATTAAATTGAGTAATAATTTCCAATTGGCAAAATATTTTGAAATTAGTAAATTTTGAAGAGAAGTACATTTTATGAAAAAGCGTATCGAAAATGTTACTGTTATGCAGCTCGTTGCTATTTTGTAAACAAGAAAAAACGATTGAACGTTCTTGTTAACTTAGATCAAAGATATACAAAAATAAAAACGGCAAGCACAAATTATGAAAGTGGACATTAAAAAATATTTAAAAAGACTATATTCATAGAGAGTGCAATGAAGAGTAGAGCAATTTGTCTAGAGTACTGAGACACATATCTTCATTTAATATATAATACATATTTTATATATGATACATGATATATTTTAATAAAAAATACTAATTGGATTGGAATTTCTTTCTTACAGTTATTAGCTGATCGTATTTTACATTTTAATTCAAACGAAGAACTGCGTGGACCGTTTAATTAATTAACGGGGATGTCTCCGTCCTTGAATGAAACAAGCTCCGTAGAAGTAAAAGAACTCGAGCAGATAATGGATTGAAAGAAAAGGAAACGACCAGACTGATATAATAATTAAATTACGAGGCATCGTGTGACAGGAAGCATATATTGATATTGATACTAATCGCTTAATGAAAAATCGATTCGTGACAAAGCTATTCCGTTAACCAGCCTTTTCGGATCTCCCTGTTAAGAAGCAATATAGTAAACGCCTATCGAGAATTAATTTCCATTTTAATTATCACTTGACATTGTTTTATCAAACAAAAGATACGAAAGGAAATATCGGATGACTTTTAACAACATCTTTAAAGCAATCTCATAAAAATTGCATAAAAGAATTGTGTAACTTCTTTTCCTATACTTTTTCTTACTTCACATAGCGATACAATAATTACAAACTTTAGCTGCAAATATTGAATTTCCTTTGTAACAAATATAACAAAAAAAAAAAGAATTAAGAAGCTTACTCAAAAAGGAAGCTATACTTTTTCTTTAAAAAGTTGTTAAAGATTAAACAAATTTCGTTTACATCATATTTTGCCCAAATCGCACAAGGCGTAAAATTTGGCACATTTAGATAACTTTTGTTGATTAATTTCAACGTACTGGAATGATCGATAACGTTGGAATGTCAATTGCGTTACTTTACTTCAACTCGTGAAATTTTATACCAACAGGGATTGCAAGTATTGCTTTTAACTCCGGTTTCCAGCTCCTCCTTCTTTCCCTTTTTTCGAGAACTTCGAGCCCGATAAATCAATCTTGACGTCGAGATAATTTACAAGGCTGTCGATGGGGTGATAACAACTCATGGAGAATTTCGATTCAGTAGCTTCGCCGAGCGTGTACCGGAAGTGGGCCACGCGTGCCTCAGGAAACAGATGAGTCAGAAATGCAATATCGCTTTTTACAAGTCACGAAAAGCCAGAGTGGCGAATTCCTTTGCTTCTACTTTGGCGAAATTACAATTTTAGTCATCCTGCATTTTTTTTTTTTTTTTGTTATTAATTTCATCCTACGTTAATTTAACATTAATTGTAAAAAGCAGGATTGGAAAGTTTACTTTGTTCCAGTAAGAGGAAACACAGAATTTTCTTTCGATTTTACAATTTTATTTCATTAAAGCGTTACGCGTGTACAGTAGCGTTTCGTTCCTTTTGTCATTTTTTAGAAAATTGCTCGGAAGAATGTTTATTCTAGAAAAGGCAAACACGACGAACTTGTTGACTGCGTTATCGATTGACGCGATAAAAAATGTTGTTTGCATCAGTTCTGTAGTTCCATTTCGTTCAATATCTCATAATGCTGTACTTAGAATAATAATACTATATAGTAGGAGATAATGGAAATATGTAAAATTAAAATACGACAATATTCGATGTAAAAACAGAACGTTCGTTTGACGTCGCGCATGGCCACAAGAGAATTCATTGAATAAAAAAGCAGACAAGATCGTTCAGTTGACACAATGTCTCGGCACGATATGTCGAAGTGTCCATTATTCGAGGAAAAATACACCGGGCAAATCCCGGTTCGTTTCGACAACCGTTTTCATTGAAAAATTATTTTTGTCCATGATATCACTGGCTCGAACCAATGGAATTTTATTTATCGAGGAACAAATTAAAACTTCTGTCTTAAATTCTCAGAAAGAAATTCCAAGAAACCCAATCCCTAATTTAATTAACGATATCTATTCAGATTTCGTTGCTACGAAATTTTAATTAGAAAATATTCATCAAGAAATAAATTCAAAATATTCGACAAAGAGCCTTTGTAAAAATTCTACAGATCTCGATCGTTACCATAGCCAACGATATTCTCAGGGAAATTATATTGTTGTACATTTTAATTAAGGGGTAAATTATAAATATTTGATTGGACCTTAATCACACATCTATAATTATACCACTTCACTGGACGATTAATTATAAAATATATTTGTAAAGAACTGTCTAAAGATGTTTAAATATTTGTAGAGAATTTTACATAAAATGTGTAACGGGAATTGCTTTAAAGTTGAAAGCTTTTACCTCTGACGAAAATGAGAGAGCAGAGTCACGTTTCGGCGAAATGAAGAGTTTTCGAAATCAGAGCAAAATTGAACGAACTTTTGAAAGCCGAGTAAATGTGGGATGATGATAAAAAGCTCCTTAATCCAATACCTTCCCATGAGTGATATCAAATAAAAACCACCCGGTCAGCTTTTTTTCTTCCATGCACACGCGATACCATAGCGTGATATATTGCTTCCCTGCCGTGTAAAAAATGAAAACAAAAAACATAAAGAATGTCATGGTGCGCAGGCTGGTGCCCGGAAGTTTGGGATGAGATATTGTGCTGGCAATCAACGGCACCTGGGGAGTTGGCCATCCTGCCCTGTCCATCTTATATCACTGGGTTTGATGTCCAGGTAATTATCATAATTAAAATTACAATTGTTGGAATTTCTAATGAAAACTTAATAAAATGGTGCCTATTACATTGTCGTATTGCTATTATTGAATCATTAGGGGTCACAAGAATCTGAAGTTACCAGGAAATCTAACGCTTTAATAACGAATTTGAACTGTTCCAATTTTCATGGTGTGTTTCGCTTGTACTTCACGATCTGTTCTAACGAATACATTTGAATTTCCAGGCGAATGCATCCAGAGAATGCATGTCAGATGGCCAGTGGTTTTGGAATAGTAGTACCAATAGTACTTGGAGCAACTACAGTCAATGCTACAGAAATTCATTGGTGACTGTTGTAGTGGCACTGCCCGGTGGTGAAAAGAACAACGGCACTCTTATTAAAGTAAATGCTTGTGAACACTACTAAATTTATCAGCGACATTAATAAGAAACCATCCAGAATGAATCCACAGATAGCATATTTAATTGAATGGGTCGTTAGGAAATATAATAATAATACTATTGTGGAACCAGATTCTTAGTTTTTTTTTGTTATCATCTTTAAGAAACCTTGACGACTTTGAAGCTTCAAGACTTCATTGATCACGAGAAGAAAAAAAAAGCTAATCTGTGGAAAAAGGAACAGAAATGTCAGAAACTCGTTCAGAGGAGATAGAAATCGATGGGAATTACGCGAATGAGGTCAAACATTTTTCAAAAGGCAATCGATGATTAGAGACTATTTATTGCGTTCCTGTTGCAATTCTCGGAATTGCTTAGCACGACGTGAAGTCCCATTACGTGTAATTAATTCGATAGTGTTACAATCGTTTTGTGAAAAACGGGGAAACAGAATATTGTATCATGGCCAATTTGCTTTCGCAACAAAATTAGCATGTGAACCATATCGGTGGCCTCTCTTTGATTGAAACCTGCGGTTTATCGATCACATTCGCGCAGACTGATTTCCCCCGTGCTTCGTAATGTCTCCAATTACCTTTGCAAGATTTAATAAGTATTCTAATTAACAGTAACTTATGTTTCAGAAATTTTTTCCGATAGTAAAGACCATCTCGAAAGTCGGGTATACCGTCTCTCTCTTCACTCTGGTGATAGCTTTCTTAATTTTGGTTGTGATCAAGTAAGTATCAGCTCAGGGATATTACTTTTTATTCCTGTTTTTCAATTTTTAATAAGTAGCTTATGGTAAAAGGTATTTTTATTATTCAGAGTTGGAGCCTGTAATATTTCAATTTTTCTAATCCTCCATTTTCACTATATTAGGTTGTCGCGTGAGTTTGTACTAATACTTACAATTATTGACTTCCATATATTAATTCACAAATTCTGCGTTTCAAAGTATAACGTTGAATTAATTTTATTTCTTGGAGGTAAATCAAAATACGAGTAATCCGACCATTATAATTTCATCGAGTAGAGAAGAGAATTTAGTCATAGAGAAATTATATTTTTTTGATGGCGGATCCTCCTTTTTTCTTATTCAGCAATTCTCTTATCATCTGCATCCGCCAGACGCTTTTAATGCTAGTGTTGTTTATAATTCCATACAAGAAAAATTAGAAATACAAACACATGGAACAACTTATTAATTTTATTTTAACTAACATGTTTCAATATCTGATCTTTAAAATCCCAAATCATTACTTTAAGTTTATCCCAAATTGGACGTAGGAAATTGAGGTGCCCCCGGAATATGCTGCACATGCATTTGTTCGCCTCGTTCATGCTCCGCGCGTTCATGGCGCTGATGAAGGACATACTGTTCGTCTCTGGAATCGCCTTAGCCTCAGATGTTATGATAAAAAATGGAAACACATATTGGCTAGTGGACGAGAAAGAAAACAGCTGGCTGTGCAAGGTGTTCACCAGCTTCTGGCAATACTTCATCCTTGCAAACTACTTTTGGATACTAATGGAGGGTCTCTACTTGCACAACTTAGTCTTTCTAGCACTCTTCACCGATATAAACTCAAGCATCATTGGCTACGTTTGCCTCGGATGGGGTGAGCATCTCTCAATAGCTATTTTCTGAGTAACGTAGTAATTCCTTGAAGATTCTGAGCTGCTCTAAATCTTATCAAGTACATTGTTCATTCATACGATATACATAATTCATAGTACTGTTTTTGTTCTTTCCTTTCTTTTTTTTTTATATTAATGTGGTAAGAAATATCAATTTTGGAAGGACTTGCATCATGAAAGGTAGCAGTGGCGATGTGAACTTGTCGTTCGTGTTGTCTTTTGTTGTTGCTTAGAGTTTCCTAAACTGCTTTAGTGAAATTATCATGTAAAGTAGGAAAGTTAGCTTCTCTACGTGCCTGTGCCCTCAGGTCTGCCAGCTGTATTCGTATCGTGCTGGATAGTGGCGAGAGTGACTCTCGACAACAAGTATTGCTGGACCACTCATGAAAATTCCAACCTCTTCCTCCTTATTCGAGTTCCGACTATGCTGTCGATTCTGGTAAGTTGCGTGAAGCTATATAAGGAATTTTCCAAGATAATCGTGTATCTTCTATATTCTATTCAAGTTGTTCAACTTTGTCTCACTCTCCTTGTCGCAACTTGGGAAAAGTGTTCGTTACTTTTTCCACATTAAAACTTTTTGATCACTTCGATAGACTTGAATATGAGAATCACCGGTTTCAAATTCCACAGATCAATTTTGGGCTGTTCGTCAATATCGTTAGAGTGCTCCTGTTGAAGCTCAAGTCCACGGTATCGGAAGAGACGCAAAGATACAAGTAAGTTTCGCCACCTAATTTCCGATAAGTCCCTTGAGTTATACGCCTGTTTACACAACCTAGTTTCTCTGAGAACTCCTACAAGTTATACCTCGTTCCAGAAGATGAGTAGTTTCAATTCTCTTTGAGCGTAGATTGTTCTTCGCGTGTTAAAGACTCTGAATTACTTTGCAGAAGGTGGGCGAAAAGTACATTGGTCCTGGTGCCACTTTTTGGAGTACATTATACCGTTTTCTTAGGCATGTCTTATAGTATTGGTGTAGATGAGACTGTTGAAGTTGTGTGGCTCTTCTGCGACCAACTGTTCGCTTCTTTTCAGGTATATGACTTAGAGAGTCTCTACACGCTTTTCTTCGACTTCACTATTTTATAATATCTTCATCTGCAACGTCCAATTCTCTCTGCTCTTTCCATTTCATTGTGGCTTAAAGTTCTCTCCTCGTCAGTTGTTCATTGCCACATTATAATTATGGTTCTTAATTAAATTACTTGTTCTTTTTTTGGTAATAGGGTTTTTTCGTGGCCGTTTTGTATTGTTTCCTGAACGGTGAAGTGCGAACCGAGGTAACCAAGGCGATCAGGAGCCAGAAATTGCCTCGTTTTCGCACTAGGTGGAACTCAAGACCATCCACCCACTCTAACAGCACGTGCAGCTGCAATGCATCGAAACTTGGTAGACGGTCAAAGCGGCCACGTTGGTGGAAAGAACCTTGGCTCTGTTTTCTTCACGACAGGACAGCTCGACGCTCAACCCACTCGATGGCGAGTACACAAGGTGTCCTCTCTATCCTATCAAATCCTTCGTTCTCTCACGCACGCCTTCATACCGCTGGCTATTATATTTTCAACACTGTCTTTGACATTTCATTTTCATATCTTCACCAGTCTGCATGTTTCTGTGTTATGTTCTAATCAATTAATGTATTTTAATTTGACGAAAGATTCCCACCAACATTAAAAATTGGTATGCGTGATCGGATCATTTGTTTTGATATTATGGACTAGTTGATCATTGTTTCATTACTTTCGGCAGATATCAATCCATATTAAATTATAATACCTTGAGAAATAGGTTGTTATTCTACAGTGAATCTATAGAATAGTTGGTGATTAAAACGAGAATCATTAGTAGTCAACTTGATATTCTTTTCTGGTTATTAATATTCCAGTGCTCAAGACTTTTACCAGTCATTTGCTATAATTTGTCGTGAATGATGATGATGCAGTTCCTCTTCCCATTTATTTTTTTTCTTTTTTTTTTTTTTTTTTTTTTTTTTTTTTTTTCTTTTGTAGAAGCAGCGAATCTCTGCATTTGTCCTTGCAAATCTCTGTACAGAATAGTTGCTCTCTTGCTTGTAGATCTCCAATATTTTTCATCCCGAAGTGGAAAGAATATTAAAATTTTAGAGATAGTATGATATATCGCTTTCAATGCTTTCCACGTTGATTTACCGATGCCTCTTCAATCTTTCATGCAAAATTGCTCCTTTGTCTTGCCATATATAATGTTGTCCCCAAAAAATGAGTTTTAGACGGGAGAATAATTGTAAATTCTCAAACTCTTTGTAAACAATTTTATTTGCCATTCTATATTTGTTTATGTCAACATTGAAAGTATTCTGTTTGTAAAATTGATGTATTTCTGATGGAGTTGAAGAGGGTGAAGCGTTAAGGAATGTGACTGCTCATTCTCTCAGATATTGGCACGCGAGATGGTTCAGTAGAAGCAGCGAATCTCTGCATTTGTCCTTGCAAATCTCTGTACAGAATAGTTGCTCTCTTGCTTGTAGATCTCCAATATTTTTCATCCCGAAGTGGAAAGAATATTAAAATTTTAGAGATAGTATGATATATCGCTTTCAATGCTTTCCACGTTGATTTACCGATGCCTCTTCAATCTTTCATGCAAAATTGCTCCTTTGTCTTGCCATATATAATGTTGTCCCCAAAAAATGAGTTTTAGACGGGAGAATAATTGTAAATTCTCAAACTCTTTGTAAACAATTTTATTTGCCATTCTATATTTGTTTATGTCAACATTGAAAGTATTCTGTTTGTAAAATTGATGTATTTCTGATGGAGTTGAAGAGGGTGAAGCGTTAAGGAATGTGACTGCTCATTCTCTCAGATATTGGCACGCGAGGAGGTAGTTTAGCGAGCAGCAGAGGTTACTTGGAAATCGCAGGGAACGGACAGAGCGCATATCCGGGAAATCAGGATCAACAGGCGAATCACGCGTCACCCCTCTACAGTAAATACACGGATCAATCCTTACTTTCCTTTTGCTCGAACGTGAGTACAGAGTTTTCTTCACCCATCTACATGATGGAGTCACACTCTCTTTATTCACATGGTCAAGTGTAAAAAGCAATTTTATAAAAGTAATTTTTTATGTTCAGAAAATGTTATAGAAATTTCAAAGATATCGAAGCGTTTATTTACTTATATAAATAAATGTAATTAATTAATGAATTAATTAAATATTTAATAATATACTTAAAAGTATATTAAATGGAGGTAATGTATTTTTTCATGAACTTTCAGCTAACTAGGGATTAATAGATCTATGTTCTAAGATTGGATTTCATTTTAGGTTTCGGAAGTAACGCCTTGCACAGGGCTCAATACAGATAGAATTCGAGAGCAGCATTGTTGGAGTGATTCAGAGTGTTGTCATCTCGCCTACGAGCTACACAATTTACATCATGGGTCCTCATAAAACCCGTAATCAGATTTAAATCAGTTTACTACTAAGACTCTGCGTGCAAACAGCTAATAAAAATAATGAGAAAATTTCTTCAGTGGAAGAACGTGTACTATACACGGTTATTATAAAACGTACGAAGACTGTAAATACATCAACGGTCCGCCAAAATTGTTTTAATCATAACGCTGCTAAAAAGTCTCGAATTGTTCAAAATCCACATTTCTTCTACTGCTTTTGTATTACTCTATATTTTTTATAATGAAGTTGCTAAAACGAGGGAAGATGGACTTACAAAATTTCTATTTTTGTAGTAGATGTTACTATTTGCACTATAATTGTTATACAAAGGTTTCTAAAGGATTTCATTGAGTTTTACTATAGAGTGATTTACGAAACAATTTAATTGACAAGTATTATCACCGTAGGGTAATTAATGCAATTTAACGCTGAACTGTAACAGTGATGAATGACTTGCCAGTATTTCTATGACCATTTTGCTTTAAATTGCTAACTGTAAACACACAGATTTATTCTTTACAGAAATATTTATTGTACGACTAGAAAATAAGAAACTATTGGCTAATAAATCTATCTTCCCTCGTTTAACATTGCACTGTGGATATACTTGTAATAAATTATTAACGACAAATGTTTTTCAAGACTTTTAAGCAGCTATTTTTTATATAATAATATATCTCAGATTCTTTAAAATTATAAACTGGAGATTTTAAACTTAAAGACACACGTTTATTTTTTTATACATGTTCTTCTATCCTTTGACCTGTAGATGTTATATATACTGCATCAGAATCTGCTGAACCCGACTGTAAACGGATGTAGATATATAATAATTCAAGTTGGATATACATATGTATTAGCTTTATATATTGTACATCCATCTTCAATTATTTTTTCGTGTAGTCAACGAGCAAAGTGAACGACCGTTAGTCTGTGAATATCGCATTATCTCTAGAACTACCACCCAATAATTGTTTTGCGAAAAATATAAAACATAGGTTTGACGAAATTACTCTTGATTCTTATCAGGATAAAAAGATTAAGGAAATAGTTCAGGTTGGTAGTACTAGTGTCAGCAAAGAATTCATTTGACCAGGGTTACGTGGATTTCCTGAGACTTGTACTTTGCTAATATGGAACGGATTGAAATCGAATGATGTCCATATCCGTTCCCAATGAGTCTGGATTAATTGTCAAGATGTAGTCCTTTGTCGTTTATCACTTTGTACATAGGATATGTGAATAATTGTCAGTGACGTGTGTATTTATGATGTACAATTGCAAGCAAATGTATGTTTTTATTCTTGTGTATACTTGTATGTGTGTATTCGGGTTGTTATTTCTTGCAATGAATTCAGTTTACGAACACGAGGAGATCGCTTGAAAATTTTCCACGTGCTTTATTGCCTATCTGTATTTCAAATCTAATCAATTCATTATCCGTTATCACGTTCTCGACTGTTCATAATTAAACATAGATGTATGGAGACATTCCGATTAACGAGGGTTACGTGGAATTTTTTCGATGTCAATTTCATTGTCAATTATTGGTTTCCTTCTTGTTCGCTGTTATTGTTTTACCAGGAAGATTCGTTGGAAAAATATTATTGAACGAACATATCAATATTAAGAATGAGAATCATAATTAATAAATCAGTGTAGTAGCTTGAATTTAAAATGAAGACTTGATAAACAGATTCAGTACTTTGATATGTAAATTTTTAGATACATAAAATATTCCAGTGTATGAGAGCGTCTCTGATACAACATTTTCTCTGATTAAATCATGGAAAAGTACTATATCTGTTAAAAAGTACAAATGCGTAATTGCTTTGGATCGTACCATATTTAAAAACATTTATATTACCTTTTGTCTCAACAGCTTTCTATTTTAAAGATCAAGTCGAAGCTCTTATATATGTATATTCGATGTAAAAGTTCATAATTGATTGAAATAAAGTGGAACGTATATGTATACAGTGAAAGTATATGTATACATTGTTTGTTATTTTCCTAACAGATTTTTTTATTTGAAAACTATTTGGTCTACAATTTTGTGCTAAATACAAGCACATCATTTTTACAATAGTTCTTATCAATGATTCATGTATTTACATTATTACATTCTACTCATTTTCTTGTAGTTTCTACAGTGGCACACAATAGAAATTGCATGTGTTATTTTCTTGAGATATATCTTGCAAGTAGACACTGCGTTGAGATCGACTATGCTGGCCACTATCAAATCGGATATTCATTCTGAACATAGTGTCCATTTGCGAGAAATGGTCTCGAAAGCAACTCGTGATAGTTTTACTCTCAAATGAGCGTATCTCTTTGCAAATCATTCATTCGTACATTAAAGTCATCACTATGATTCTCCCTCTATAACTGTACCTATTAATGGAACTTTCTTTTTCTCATGCGGCAAACCGAGTGGTTCACTGAAAATAAAAAGGGTATATTAAATAAAAATTCACAAAAAATGAACAATTTTATGGAAGAATTACGTAATATTAAATTATGGAGGAAAGACTTTAATGGAATATTGCGTTTCTATACGTTGGTCAATTACCTAGAAGCTCCAATCACAAAATTTACCTAACTACTAAAGTAGACAAATAGTTATATTACTAATATTTAATAATACAAAATAGTGAAAAAGATTTATTAGAGAATTGAAAAATTGTTATTATTATTATTGTTATTATTATGAATTCTACACTAATTATCTGATATAACTATTAGACTATATAATGTTTAATTTCCTTTGTACGTGAAGGACTTATAAGTCAAATAGGCGAGTGAAGAAGTGTTGACAGAATTGCATCTCTTGTTTGAGATTTATTGAAAATTTATTATAAATCCACTTACCATCCACTGACGTTGTGCGCGGGAAGACATGTGTTTTCCAGCTGGCTGAAAGCCTTTCCTTCTTCGCAGACCTGCAATCGTGGCCGACCATTCACACACACGAAATAACGTTGACAGTCATAAGGACTGGCGTAGAACTCAAACTTGTACAGTCGATTTTCATCGTTAGGATCACTTGGGCACCGTAGTCCTAAGAACGCTATATTGACAATAGTAAAGCAGCAATTAACAATTAAACAGTGTAATTGAAGTCACGAATCACACAACAGCACAATTTCACTTTTTGCTACCATACTATGTAAGTTATTGGTATAAATGTTCTCGCTCTAATTAGACATATTTAATGACATTTAAAATAACATCAAAATCTTTTCCTTTGGGTATCTTAACGACAACAGTGTCAACAACATCACAAATGTATGAAAGACTCTGTTTGAACTTACTCCAAAAAATCTAACTCTCTTGAAATATTAATTGGTGTATCTGTCCTGTTACAGAATGCACCTCAATTGCAATAACAAAAACAGTTATTCCCAATATAATTGGCAAGTCTTTCATTAACTTGAAATTTTGACGATAAACTTGAAAATTAAAAATAAACTAATATCTTACAAATGTTTATAATTCTTCAATATTGAAATATATATATTTGTAAGAATTCGAGAATGTGAAAAGAATGATGTGTTTAGGTTAAGTCGTCATCTTCCACTTTCTGTAGGAATCCTGCTCTTGTATGATGCTTTTAATATGTAAAAAATTCCTTACGCTGTGATGCGACGAAAGAAGATAAAAAACATGTTTAAAAGATGTAAAGAAGAGGAGATATAAAATCCGCTCACATTCAACATCGCAGTCTGGTACTTGATCAGGCCAGTCGCAACGATAAGATTCAGAGTTGAAGGCCAACCCTTCGGGACAATGGAAAACATGTGCTCTCCCCTCTACACAGGACATGAATTTGCCACAATTCTGTTGATCTCCGATTTTGAAGAAACCATACTGATGGGGACAGTCATCCGTTGGCTGTGGTGTCTCTGAAAATTAATTTTTATTATTTTAATTTAACTGCCAATAAAATTATTTTTCAGGCATTTAAATGCTGTCTTCATATATCTTCAACGATGAAATTCTATACCTGTAAAATGTAAGTATAATATTGAAGAGTTAATTTACAAAAAATGATCAAATTTGAAAAGACTATTGTCACATGATACTAACGTCGGTTAGGTCTTCCATCACAATTCACACCGGCAGGATATTCACAAGGATAGGCGAACCTCACGTTAGGATTGAATAAGAGTCCCTCAGGACATAATTTGTGTTCCGGGATACCATCGATGCATTCGATGTAAGCGTCACATTGGGATGGCACAGAAAATCGACCATTCTTTTCAGGACAGCTATCTTTGTGTACGCTGGCCGCTGTAAAAATAAGATAAACAGTTTTCTTTACTTGCTAACTCTATTTAATCTTGAATCATGTTATTTCCATACTCTGTGGGAAAAATTGGGTTGTTAATGATCCAGTAAATATTCCACCCTCGATTTTCCTCCAGAGGAATTGTTACATTGAAAAATGTTTGAAACAATTTGGTTCAGAGAAATAATAAGTTCATTATAACATATGGTTCTTTTAGGTTTCCCTTTTGGAATTTTTTTACAGCAGCCTATACAACTGTTTCTGTTGATATGTTGCAGTATATATTTGTTAATATTTTTGCAATCTCCAAATATATTTTTTAATTGAAGTAATAGATGGAAATTGTCCTAAACATATTAAATGATCCAGTTTGCCTATGTAATACTAAAAAATATGTTTATATGTAATGCTATCAGTAAAATTGTTTAATAATAATTTAATATGTATTATATTTAGTATATATATAATATATGTTATATATTTAATAATGAAATAAATTAATAATGAAAATTTGAATTTCAGGGAAAATAATAAAGCAGTCACAGTATAACAGAAAAACATTCTCTTGAGATTGCAAGTAACTGTTACGGAACGTGAAGATGAAGCTGTTAGGAGAATCCAGGTTTTTCAACGTACATTTGTCAAACACCTGTTCCAATATTATTTCACGACAGAGTTTCTCGATGAGAGTTTTATGAAATCGTCCGAGTTACTTCACCTTCTGTTACAGAATCATTTTGCACTGGTTCTGTGCCTCTTACTTCATAATTTCTGAAGTGATCCACGACGATGATCTTCCAGGAATAGATATTGCCAAATGTTTTCATTTTCCATCAGTTCAAAGTAGATTTTAAGAAATTCTGTGATTTATCATTTTTTAAAAGATAAAAGTAACTCGTCACAGTTTATTAAGAATTTTTGATCCACTCTTTATCCACTCGATTTAGTTTTACTAAATTTAATAATCTGTTCTCTATAAATCTGGTCTAGTTCTTCTTCAACTCGTCAATCTCAATATAAGATTATGTATATATGTATATTAATTGTTCGAATTTATTCACTACTGTCTTTTATATATCTATCATAATTTATTTCAACATTTTTTGCACAAGCTTCCCATAAAATCTTTTCTCCAAATTCTTTCATTTATTATTATCGAATATCAAAAATATCCTTGATTATCAGTTCTGTAATATACTTTTTCCTGTTTTACGTATTCAGAGCTTTTAAAAAATGTCTTCCTCCTTTTACGCTTAACGCCATTCTATTTCTTTATTGATAAGTTAAACAAACACAGAAGACGCTGATTGCTAATGAATGGTTAATACTTGCAGAGCTCTTTTCGCGGTCCTTCGAATTGGGAAACCCTGGCCCCTTGCATAATGCAGCACCTTGAAGACGAAACCGGTCCCTGAACTGCGCATGTATTCACGCTCACTATCGAATTCTCGAACGGAGAAAGTTCGAGGATGCGATTTGACCTCCGCACTTCTCTATCTATCTTCATCTTACACTGAATATTATTCAATTATACGAACCGAAATAGAAATTGATACTAATTCAAGTCGTTCACAGATCGAAGTGGTTAATTCTATTTTTTGATATTTTTGAAACTTCTTGATGGAAAAGCATTTAATTGACGCTTATCTTACATAATTTCATCAACTTTCTCTATTTTACGATTTGCGAAGTTAACCGATTTGGCAAATAAGCAGCTCAGTTCACTGACTAGCAACTAAGGAGTGAAATAATGCGTAAAAGTTATGTAAATGCAATGTTATTAAAAGACGTACATAAAACATTGTTATGCAATTGTGGAAAAGTATTTTGGAAAAGTAGTTGGCGATAGAAAATAGTTGCAAATAAAAGGATTCCCCCGTTTAACCTTTTTGAAAATTTAAATGTTATAGATTCAAACTATATGGTTGAAAGTACTTAAGTGAACTTTTGTAGAATTTCTTACATATATGTGTATATGTAAAACGCGTAAAAATCACGGAAAGTATGAAAGTCTGAAAGTATAGCGTGACGATACTGTTAAATTACCACCTTAATGCCAGTTGAGGATTAGGCATCTCTGTTTCACTTAGCGGAAGCTGTAGCTTCCCTCGGGCGTCGAGATCGTCGTCTTCAGTTTACGTAACTTATTACAAAATCGGAAATCTATGATTTATAGTATGCTTTATTGGAACTCTCCGTTTGTTTACACGATTAGAAAATATTGCAAGCGTATATTGTAAATGTTTCACTTCTTAGTTGATGTGTTCGGTATTAGCGAATTAAAACTTGGAAGTTTCCTTTTTTCTAGATAAATTTTCGGCATTAAAAAATTGATTTCTTTTGTAGCGTGAATAATGAATAACACTCAGGTTGGCAATCGAGTGAGTATCTTAATGAGAAACGGTGTGTTTTGATCATAAAGCGATAATGAGAATTATCGTGGGAGAATGGTCGTGCAAAACGTGACATGGTGATGCAACATGATGATGAAAAGCTGAATGGTTTACCGGGACAGTCAATGAATTTTAACAAACACGACTATTTTTATCGATGGGATAATTTGGAACCTAAGCAACAAGACACAATTTACATGAGCAAACAAGCTGAAGCCATTGAAATATCTCTCTCCATCTGTTTCCACTAATTTACAAACCTACATAATGACCAGAAGAATCTGTTGAAGTATCTTTTAATGCATTCTGAATCCATAAAAGAGGCAGTAATTCTTGGATTCTTGAAAGAACCGGTTAGATCAGTATTATGGGAAATATTCTATGGATATTCTGTATTATATATGAATCTGTAGTATTATTATAGATAACATATTTGATAACATTAGTATTATTGTAGATATCTTGTTTTATGGGGCATTATGACAGAAGACGTCTAATATGAGTATTATAGAATTCAGTATTATAGAAGATCAGATTTTAAAGAGCTGTAAACTTCATTGCAACAAGTACTCTGCCAATTTTTATCTTCGCTGCAATTACTAGCACTTACACTGATTCTGGAATCCCTATTATCGCAATAACTGTGATAATCATATGATTCCATTGACTGAATACAAAATTGCTAATTATACCTGTTCTATCATGTGACACTTGAACTTGGAAAATGTATATTCATCTATCTATATGTTTTAAGAATTGGTATGTATTCTTCTAGCTTGAATAAGAACGTATGTATGAATAAGAATCGTATATTAATATCTTAGTATTTGCATTTAATTAAATAACATTTAATTAATCGAAGGCCTTTGGCAGAAATTAATATGATATTTATTAAAAATATTCATTAAAGTTTCATAGTTTATTAGAAAATTGAAAAATTAGAAACGTTATCCTTGAAAATAGAGATTTTTTTCTATGATTACACAATTTCTTTTTTGTCAATCATCCATTCTTAATAAATTCCATCATAACGAGCAAATTACAAGTGATAATATTTTTCTTTTTGCAAATAAAACGTATTCTTCGTTAAACGATATATTTTGAATAATTTCAATTGCAAGGGATAACAATATCTTTCATTTTGCAGTCTGTCACGAATAAGATAGTCTGCCTAAGGAAGAGTCTCTCATAAGTAATCACAGATGAGCACACATATCTTCAGGAACCATGCATTATAAGACACAAGAAATGTCACCGATTCTGCTTTGCAAAATGAAGAGAACGGCGTTCGCTTTCTCGAAGATACGATCTTGTATAGACGAGAGTTGAAAAGAAGCCCTCTGGAAGGAATGCGAGTCTGCTTGGTTATTTCTAATAGACGTAACACAATCATAAAGAGGAGCACGCGTATTGGCTGAAAGTGCCACATATGGAAATATCGGATATAAAAATACGTGAGCGATAGTCCTCCTTTCAGATAGATACTGAATCTAGGGTAAGTGCCCCCAATATCGCCTACCAAATTTTCAGTTGTTCTCAAATAAAAGGTAAGGTCTCAAGCGAAAGAGATACTATTTGTGTTTCATGTACAAATATAAAATACGTCTTTATATATATATATATATATATATATATATATATATATATTTTTATATCTTCTTTTTTTTCAAAATATTACTGGTGAGCGATATTACGGGCTAGGCCTAGGCGATATTAGGAGCACTTACCCTACGTATATACCAATGGAGGCGTTCACATGACGATTTTCGTGATACATAGTATAGCGATACTGGTTTCCTGTATCCCAAGTACCTCCGCCGCTGGCGATACTTTTCGTACGAAGTCGGTAGATCAAAGAATGATCAACACAGGCGATAGACACAGGCAACCTATACACGAACAAATGAGACTGTATGTTTCATTTCCAGAAGTGTATCACGAACGTGTATCGCAATACGCAGTTCGTGATACACGTATCGCGTGTGAAAAGGGCCATAGAGGGCAGACCCTCTCTTGCCCCTGTGCCGTCCCGCGAAACTTTCCAACTGGTCACAGTACTCACAGCTCGCGAAGCCGAGGACGCCGCAGGCGATCAACAAACGAACGGTCGTTGTTGTTATGGTCATCTCGAGCTCCTGCTGTCTCGACTTCCGAAACCAAAACTATCTGAATCCTCCTGCTCACGAGCTTTTATGATCTTCGCTCTACCACCACGCATGCCGGCTCCTTCTCGGTCTTCTCCTCCCTCATACGTTTTTTGGGATCACTCAAAATTTTGAGATGCTATGTTACATAAGACAAATTTGGATTTACAATGGATTACTATGGGAGGATGATAGAAATTTGAATTTGGATAGGAATTGAAAATTGGATGAGAATATTGTATATTAGTAGCGCATCGTATATTTATACTTGATTCAATAATGTTTAATTAGATAAAATCATATTTGACTGCAAATATTTCTGCGAATATATATTTTTAGAAACACAAATAAAAGGATAGGACCTAGAATTGAGATTTGTTTCATCTACTTTGGATATTTTACATATTTTGTATGCATTATGTACGTTTCATTTATTTTTCAAAAACTGTATTTATGGAATTATATTTTGTAATATAGAAATACACCAATTATATTTTGGTGTATTTCTATATTACAAAATGTAAACGATGACCTAATGCATAATTATGTTTTTTTAAATTATATTTTTTATATCTCAATCTATAGGTACAATTAAAATAGAAAATTTCCGTACCTATGTGTATGAATAAATTAATCTTTTTCATACAATTGCATTACCTTTCTTATTCAAAAATAGTTCTTCCGATTTGAAATATTGATTCCTCAAAACGGCGTCTATAATGCCATCCTAACCTCACTTTCTTCGAGCTCGCAATACAAAGTAACATTCCAAACCGAGTCTGTCCATCTTACAGCATATTTTTCTAATGTATCGAAGAAAAGGTTTGTAGACGAGCGATACGTAGAAAAAATCGAAGAAAATGTCAAGGCTCTGCTGGTTGGACGCCCGAGGCTTCTCCAATCGCGAAACTTAGCACATCGTCCGACGTTACGCAAATTCCTGTATCTTTTTAACCGCTTTTTTCCTATATCTTCTATATGTGTATTATTCTTTCTTTCGTACTTCCGCGAAAGGATTTGTATCCTTAAAACTTTCATGTGAAAGTGAATCATCGAAATTGAATATTCATAATCTCTTCGTAAACACAGTTACATTGTCTGTATTATTTTTTTTTTTTTTTTTTTTGGAAATGTTTTATGTGTTCTATCGATAATCAAAATTATGGTAGATAAAACTCTTACGAGATAATTAGTTTTGCACTTAGGTGAATGCATTTGTACACTTTGATCTTTATTTTTTCTATTTTTCGTTTTAAATTTATTAATTTCTATTCTTTTCTATATCTCCAATTTATTTAAGCAATTGTTTTTCGTGTTAATTTGCAGGAGGAAGAATTGACTTTGCACCGTTTCATTCATTGCCATTGTAACGAGTAATTACATGACTCTGGTCTTGCAGCAGAATTCGTTCCCAGCAGTGTTTCGATACGATCCTTTGTGTAGCGTTCGATGGTTATTATAACGTGAAATCGATTTTGGTTTACGCCTTATAGTATGGTTGAGCATTATTTTTACGAGAGAATTCAAATTGAAAAATTAACGAGATGCGTGGGACTCGTGATATGAAATTTTATTGCATCTCCTTACCCATGATGGAGCATATGGTTATAATTCCGGACGCTATAGATTATTTTAGTAAGTCAAATAAAATAATAAATATTGATAACAATATGGAAAACTAATATAACCTTCAGATATCCTATTTAAATTTTCATGTATTTTAATATTATGCAAAGTGGAATGGGCAATGAAATTTTAAAGATAATAAATATGAATTAATATTTACTAATAAAATACATTTAAATTATTATAATAAAATTCCTCTTAATAGATGTAAAATCTGATATACAATGAAGAATATTATCATTATAAAACAAATTATTAATAAAACGAATGTTAATTAATCTTTATTAATTGATTAATATTTGTGAAATTTACAATGAAAGTTTTTATTTTGTTTTGTCGATTGTTGTCACTATTCTGAATAACATATTTGAGCCAGGATAAGTTATAGGAATACACATATTTTACATTGCCAGATTATGATATTGGATTAAATATGATAATACTGGATAATTCGACCTAAAACGAGTGAAGGTTATATTATACGTGTTCATTGAATTATTCAGTCTCCTCCATTTGTATTAATTACACATTCCACAATATTTAAGCGAACTAATCTGCTTCCTTTTAAATACTTTCAATTGCGCCTACGTGCAATCTCGATTCATAGTTTAAAACTAGTTTGCGAAAAATTAAATATTATTTAAATGAGTACTTCGATCTTTTGATTAGAATTTGTAAACCTTTATATAGATATTTCGTGATTTAAAAGGAATATAGAGAGAAAGCTGAATTTAATCCCTTTAATTAAATTTTGTTTTATTGATGAAGGTTTGTTCACTTTATGGACACTGTGAGGATCTTGTGACTTATTTCAAATGCTCAGAATCACTTTGGACACAATAAACACTTTATTTTTACATAAGCGGAACTAAGCTTATTTATTTAACACTTTAACCTAATCCAATCTTCTAAATCGAAGCTAAACTTTATAATAAACTTCGTTAAAATTTCCCTACCTTCTCGGCACGTCTCAATGCTTCGAACTCTTGTCCCTAATCGATTATTTACAAAAAGAAATACGTTGATAACAAATAAAAATAATTAAAATATATGTAAAATGTGATATGATAACAATGTCACTGCCGAGGTACCGAATAGATGTGACGTTCAATGTTTTTTCATGTCCTGCATTTTCGGGGTCACCTGACTCCTCGTATCATTTTTGTATCGCATGCGACGTTATCAACAGTAGAGTAGCGGTTTGAATCGAAACTAAATTTTTCTATGAAATTACAAATAAGGTATAAAACTACATTTTTAATCGAGTTCGTATAGAAAACACTCCGATTTTTTGGCAGGTAGGTATGTCACAATCTTTTATGCCCTCAGTCGATAATAATATGCAACAAGGTGTTATCGTTGATCAGTAACATAGATTTCTTTGGCGGATGATAACGCAGGGAACTTCTTTAGCCTGAAGTTGTTGCCCTGCACTTCTTTGGTCTAAAGTTGGCGATGTGTGTAGCTCTGAGATCAGTCACTATGTCTACAAATCAAACAAATTTTCATTTGCAAAGAAAGTTAAGAAATTAAGAGAATTAATCTGGCAGACCAGTGCCTAAGACGGTAACGTGGCCGGCTACCACCACGAAACCAGAGTTTCAATCTCGTTGTGCCTGCACTTTTCCTAAAATATTATTACATATGATAATAATTGACTCTATTCGTCAACGTCAAGCTGAGTTACATTTCGAGATTCTTTCGGGAATGTTAGACATTTCATTTTTCGAAAATAAATCTACAGTTGGTTACTTTCTGAATAATCACTTTTATTTTTGATCCTTATCAATATTAAACAACGTAGTTACGTAAGGGTATATATATTACATGGAAAATTCTGTCTTCCTAGTGCGCATATATCTTCCCAAGATACCACGATTTTCCCCGAGAGAAGAAAAAAAATTTGTATTTCGATAATTACACCGACTCACACATTCTCCGATCTAGTTCTCCCTCTCACGCTCAACCTTTCACTCTCTGTCTCTCTTACTCCGTTATCGTTTGTCATTTTTCACTCCTCCACACTGGAACATATTACTCAATTTTCACATTGTTTCTAAAATTATTAACTTTAAAGACGACTCGAAAAGCTTCTGCATTATTCAATTCAAAAACAATCAAATTGACCTCTCCAAATAATACTCAAACGATATGTCTTTGTCCGATTATCTATTTTCCTGCAATGTTCTTTGTTTTACTCCTTATCCGTTCCCGTAACAAGAAACGTATCCTAACCTCAAAACAATATAGAATTGTAAGTATATAATACTGTAAAATGTTAAATATACCGAATAAAAGTTGAATAAATAACGAATCTGATTTCTTGTTTCGTCCAGAGTGTGGGTGGACCATGTATCATCCAACCGAATGTGTGGAAGGACCAACATCGCTCCACACGATGTACCAAACGAGATAATTCCCCACTTTTGGTGGAGGATGCACGATCAGAACTCTGAAAAGCGAGTTTTCCATCGAGATACCCTCGTTTTCGAACGAAATTTCACGAATTTGTCCATATATGTAGAGAACGAAGAGAAAGGGATCTGGATGGGAACTCTGTGGTCACTTGGAGGTAGAAACCGAACGGGAAACGAAGAAAACTAGTTTCTTCCCCGTACTGGCGTCACTTCCCTATTTGCAGCAAACGAGAAAAAGAAGCGAATGTTTATTCAAATGGACGCACACGATCCCTCTCGCTCGTTAAACGCGTTGGAAGATAATTCTCATCGTAAACTGCGCCACTGAACACGTGACTATAGTTTTCTAACACCATTCCGCTCTCTTCTCGGTGTTCCGGAGTAATTTACCGCAATTTCGAAGTACGCTTTGTTCGAGCATGGTGCTTGATGAGCCTGAGTGAACCTAACGTTAGTCGATTCTACTGGAAAAATCATTTTTCTCGCCTGTTTTCCTTACGAGAGAACGAGTAGAAGAAAAATTTGAACAACACGTCGCCTTATGTTTCCAATACTTATACAATCACACAAGAACATTTCTTTTTAAAAATTGTCAATCAACTTGATAAGAATTTTTGGTAATTTTATGCTCGTCTTATGTATGTTGTCAAAAAATAAAAGTTTCTTCTTTCTAGGGAGTTTCTGAGATTTTATTCGCGTTGGTAGGAAGATGTCAGAGGTTCATCGAGCAGCCATACGTCGCAGTAGGCCATTTCCTCCTATCTAAGAATTTGAAAGACTAACTAAAAAAGCAAAGAGCAAAGTGCCGCGTCGAGATTCCGCTTTTGCCGTCATTATTCTTCTCCATTGGTTTGTAAAAGAGATTCTCGAAATTTTACGTTCCACGAGAAAAAAGAAAGATCAAAAGTTCTCTATTTTTTGGGGGGCTCGAATTATTTCTGAGCCTTGTTTGACGATCCAGGGATTTTTTAAGTGGATGTGCAGGCACTGTTCTTTCACAAAATGGAACCATTTCAAACAACTTCAGCTCCTGGCTTTTTCCCTAGCGCGAAGGTCTAATTCGTTTTGTGGATCGATAATTACGCTATAGTTTCCAATCTTTCATTCTTCAACGAGTATCAACAATCATTAACCATTTTCTTTTCTAATATTCTTCTATTAGGACGTTAGTCATAGTGATATGTATTCGGTTAACAACACAAACTGAGAATATACCCAGCCGGTAAATAGTTTGACTTGGATTTAAATCAAATGCTACCAACTGTTCGGAGTATATTAAAGCTCTTTTAGACGAACAAAGTTGATAATATGTCCAGTAACTTGATTGCTATGCCTTCTAAGGAATTTTTCTTGGGCAATTCCCTTTTCAAATATTGTTCCAGGGATTAAAAGTGCTTCGATGTTATTGATACTCGTTCAAAAACTGTCGTCAGGGATGTTCAAAGATTGCTAATCAATGCTGAATAAGCGGATATTCGGAACAGCGATCACCGCTCAACTTAGATCGAAGCATATGGGGGATGAAGAAGACATTTTCCCCTAATTATGTTACTAGTCCACATTGAAGACTCGTGCCTTCCTTAATCGATCTTCCTTTTTAGATTATCTTAATTGAGATATGGTTGTACTTTGTTTTCAAGTAAATTTTTCTAGAATCTTTCTAACCTAACCTAGTAAACATAACAAAATCGATATCGTAGTTAAAGTCATATTTGGAAAATACTGTTTGTTACTCTTCTTCATCCGCCGATAAGCTCCTAATGGCGACGTTACAGGGGCCGGAACTGAAAACTAAAAAAATCCTAATACAGCAGCCTCGTTCTTGGATCGATCGATCCGCGATCGAACCTATAGATCGATGGTCGCGCATAGAAAGTATATCTCGTCATATATATATATATGATACATATATATATAATATAATATAATATAATATATATATATATATTAGAAAAATTTTTTTAACAGACGCATTAATACTTAAAGATAAATGTTCAGATCAATCTTTCATTCTTCCGCGACATTTACTCCCACTCTTGCGCTCTCTTCTTTGATCATTCGTTCCACTACCAGAATTTCACGGTTTTTCCCTTGCAAAAGGTGCAGACTGATATGTGAAAAGATCACTGATCGATATGTAGATCCGATATGGAGATCCGAGAATAGAATAAATGGAGAGACGTAAATTTCCCAAGCTGCCCCCTGTAGCTGTCTTTCCTCTGTAATTTCTTCTTTCCCTTTTGCCTTATCACTTTTCCACTTGCTCATTTTCCCAATTTTCCCATTTTTTAACTCTTCTATTCAGTTTCTCAATTTTTTCACTTACCAACTTTTCTCACTTTACCCAATTTTCCTATATTTTTTATATTTAGTTAGTATCTTCCTTATCATTGTCATCCTTGTCATTTCATACGATTATACCAGCTACCTTTGTTCTCACAATTTTCCTCATTACAATTTCTTCTCTTTGTTTCCCAAAGCAAAGTGACAAATACGATCATCGAATGGACGTTTATGATATTCCAAGAGTATTCTCTTCTTTGTAAATTTTAAAAACAAACAAACCTAAGGTTGTCGGTAATATAT